CATTGTTGTTATTATTATTATTATTGCTAGTATTACAATTATTACAAGTATTAGTATTGTTATTATTATTATTATTCATTGTCATTTATTATTATTATTAGTATTAGTATTATTATTATTATTAGTATATGTAGTATTATTATTAGTAGTAGTAGTATTATTGTTATTAATTTACTTTTCTGTTATTGATATGTTTTTTGTTGCTGCTGCTGCTGCTGCTGTTGCTGTTGTTGGTCTTGCTGTTGCTGTTGTTGTTGTTGCTGTGGTTGTGGTTGTGGTTGTGGTTGTCGTTGTGGTTGTGGTTGTGGTTGTTGTTGTTGTTGTTGGCGTTGTTGTCGTTGTTGTTGTTGTTGTGACAGGGACCACAGAGCACGTCTACCTGGGGTGTTGCGAAGGTTACAAGACACACAAGTCATTGCTCAAGGTGAAGATTGATTCATAATGGCACATTCCGCCACGATGATTCGATCGCACGCATAATCGTGGTTTGTTTTTTGTTAACAGGCTTAACCTGGTGATGTTCAGGATGCTATGCGCTTGGCTCTGATTTGCGATTTCTTTACACCCGTCATTCTGCTCTCGTTCTTGCATGGCTTTGGGAAGTGATGTGCCTCAGGAACATGTGGCTGGGTGGAAATCAAGGCTTGATGCTACTTTGCATGCTGGCTAGGTATACCCCCATTTGCACCGCGGTACAATCCGTATGAACCCATATGACTGAACTACTTCTTGTGGCATCTCAGCCTGGACGTACTGCAACGAGACCCAGTGACGTCCCCTTCACTCCTGTTAGTAGGTCAGACGTGTGGCCCAGTAATTATTATCCGCATTGAAGGATCAAAGCTGCAGGGGCTTTTAACATCAAGGACTCACCAGGACATGGCTTCCCAAACCAGGCAGGGGTGAAAGCCTAAGCAGCTCTACGTCGGGGCGACAGGCACCTATATGCTTTGTCATGAATACGCGGGCAGATTTACGCCCTCAACGCTTTATGACCAGATGCAACATTCATACGATGCACACCTGACGTGATATATTCCGTGCAGTTTGTGATATTTCTGTCGTTGCGCCATAGTTACCATGCCAACTGCTAGATGATGTAACTCCACAGTGTACGAATGCGTCTACAAGATCCGATTCAGCAGGCCCCATGCATCTCCTAGTAACCAGCGTCACAAGCAGCCGCCGCACGGCCAACAACGCATGACGGCCCCACACGTTGGCATGCAAACTCGTGATTCATTCAAGTACCTAGGAACCCAGGGTGGAAAAGGAAGATGCCCGATGATAGCAGCATGTGTGCCATGTATATCCTGGCAAAAACAGCCTTCTTTGCCTACTTCTCTTCTTCCGGACGAAAAATGGGCCCCGCCGTAACGGCCATGGCAAGGGCGATTGCGAGCGCATCGACAGCCGATCCTCCGAACCTGGCCGTCCCCCAACGGTCCAGCCAACACTCACGACGTGGACTCAGGCCCCCGCAGCAGGATGCGGCCAGCGATTCCTTCCGTGCAAGCGACACATCTCTCTCCCAGTCTGCAAAGTGCTTCAGACACAACGCCTGGGTCGCGTCTCACGCAAAGCTCGGGATCAACATGGAACGGGTGGTCGGGTCAGGGCAGGGCAGGGAAATTGAAGGGAAAGGTGATGTGCATCTTTCGCCCCGCGAGCCTAGCGAAAGAGTGGCGGCAATTCCCAATGCCACCAGGAGCTCCTGAAAGGCACAGAAGAACAGCAAAGGAAGCACACAGACCGTCCTTGTTTTGGGGCCTTAGCTTCAGGTCTGTTCTTGTCTCATTTTGGCTCCTTCCTGAGGACACGCCAGAAATCAGCAAATGTTGGCACCTGCAACTGCAAGCTACGCGCATCGAAACGATTAGCGCTTGAGGAAGCTACACGATGTCCGGGCTCTGTGCCAACTCACCGGTTGCGAGAGCCTCAAAGCTCAAAAGGAAACGCTGGGCTGCACAGCGGTTGCACTCTGCTCTACTCTGCCGGCCTGCAGAACCAGCGAGGCAGCCTAAGGATAAGGCGGAGAAAGGCTGCGGCGCGCTATCGCTCTCTCTGCCGGCCAAAATATGTGTGCAGGGCCTGTGAACCAGCGTTGCCGCCGCAGCCAACAAGGGCCGTCAAGTAAAACGCGATGATGAGGTGCCTTCAGCCATAGTCTGGCGACCTTTCTATCGAGCCTCATCTGAACAGTACCGGGCTTCTGCAAGAGAACATCGAAGAATTCCAAGATGGCTGACGAGACCTGTCCACATTACGACCATGAGTCGTGCTCAACTTCAGGCTGCAGGCGTGCAGGCAGGAAGTCGGAAGCGTGCCGACAGAAAGACAAGCAGCCCCAGAAGCCAGGGCCTTCAGAGAGCCGGAAGAGGGACTTAAACAAGAAAGTGGCACACCCCCCTTCCGGGATCAGGGCAGGCGGCCATACAACTCCGTCTGCACACTCTTGCCAACGTACCTGAAGGATTCTGCCGCTCCCCCAGAACTTTCAAGTCACCACTGAGAAGATCGCGGCTCGGGCGCAGATGAATACAACTCGCATTCTTCCTTCATGCTGAGATGAAGGAATGCAGCGATTGCAGGATTATTCCGAGAAGACCTTTTGCCAGGGAGTCAGGGAGCCTTGTTTCCAAGACCCAACAAACAGTCGAGTGGTAGCTGCCGTGGAGCCTGGCGGGAGGTGGCCCGCGAAGTGGCGAAGCGCGGATCGACTGGACCGAACGGTGGCCGAACAGTACTGCGTTTGGCACCCCTCTCCTCAAGAAGGTCTGCCAAGTTGATGCACGCGAGACCTGGGTCCTGCCCAGCTCCTATAGAATTCTCAGGGCAGGGTTGAACCCGCGTGCCTGTGTTTCGTCACCGGTTGGGGCGACCTTGCAAACTTCGACATGCATGCCGCAATCTAGGTTCCGAGAAGTCCTAAGCAAGAGAACCAAGACGAACCAAGCATGCGCAACATTTTTGTGTTCATCAGTAGCAAGTGTCTGGAACTACGTCCTGCTTCTGCTTCAAAAGATGCAGGGACCCGGGGAAGTCTCGTCTTCAGATATGTCGGCATTCCGGACCCTAGAGACGTCTGCCATGTGTCTTGAGTGCTCTAGGATTTTCGTCTTCGGGCCGAATTTCGTCTGCAGCGTGCCCCAAACCGAATTTCGTCTTCACAGGAATTTCTCTTCAAAAGCTTCGGAATTTCGGCCTTGGGCCCAGATTCCCAGCCCAATGCACACAAGCTTTCGCATTCAATATGTCGAGAAGGCTCTCTATCCGCGGCATGAATGCAAGCCGCCTCTCACACGTTTGCAATGTGCTTCCCATGATGGACCGAAGTAGAGCTTATACGCATACGTGGCATGGACCATTTGTCAATGCCTTGTGTTCATAACCACTGCGACACACGGAGGCCCTGAAAGAACATGCTGCGTCGCGAAAGGAAGGATCAGACTAAGTCCGAAAAATCAAGAGCGGCTCTACAAGACTGTGTTCCACGCAGCATTCTGTGCGAGGACATCTTCCATCCACTGATCCTCTAGATAGTCATCCATTTCAATCTGCACCCTACCCTACAAACCCCACGACCCAAAACACTTGCAACAATCTATGGCAGCTGTTCGAGGGCGCGCAGGGTCGGGCGTGGGTACCGCGGAATGCTGCAAAGGATGAGAAGTGTAGAGAGTGGCATGAGGCGCGGGGTGGTGTCGCTACACGCAAGCACCTATTCAAGGATGGCAGGGGTGGTAGGAGTGATAAAGACAATGTTCTGAGAGCCGTGGCAAACTTCGTTTAGGGAGACGGTTTTGGGTGGGGTCAACGCTTGACCAGATATGCCTATCCGTGACTCCAGCCGTTCCGTCCCGCTCCTCCAACAGCCTAGCCTGGTAGGGTACGGTCCGCATGGCGGAACGGGACGGAAAGGTATGAACACAGGGGGAGATGAGGAGGTTAGACTAGGCAGGGTGGCGTAGTTGCATGCAAGAATTCACGCAAAAATGTCATCCCCTTCCTCAGCCATTTCTCTCTATCCAGCCGTCCCCCCTTTGGCCAGTCATCAGTGTGAGAATTGCACTTGGAGTTTCTAAGAGCATGTTGTCGACATCCCCTGCAACGAAACTGGGAAATGCTGTTGAGAGTCTGTGAGACGGCAATGTGGGGTTGGAATGCAAAGGCGGTTAGAAAAAGAGCGGAGGCTGGGTGGCGTGGTTCCACACAAGTCACAAGACCTTATGCCAGGAGTGAAACGCCAGGGCCATGGGAAGCATCTTTTGTGGTTGGCCTTTGGTGGGGTCCAAGCTGGTCCAGCTTCCCCCCTCCACTCCACCCGTCCCCATCCACTCATGCCCTCTTCATCCACACATTTCCACCCGAGAGAAGTTTGAGAGCCAGTCAATCTGAGAACTTGACTGTTAGCGCTCCCGAGAGCATGGACGAGAGTGCTTTCAAGCTATCTGTGAGAGCTTGTTCGGTGCTGGGGTCGGGTGTGGAAGAGGGTGGGTGGGTAGACGGAGGAAGCAAAGAGCGTAGGAAATAAGGAAGCCGGAATTCGGGAGTCCTCTAATGCATTGATGCTTCGTTAGTAAGGGATTTAGAAATACAGACAAGGCTGGATTCAGGGATTCTTGAATAGCCACAATGGTTCGAAGCTTATTTAATAAGTGATTCAGAGAACGATGAGCTCCCCAAATCACAAATCGCTAGCCCCATTTAAGTTTTTGGAGCCATGACCTCAACAACCCCAATCGCAAAAGTTCAGAAATCTTGATCTGAAGCACCATAACACTAACCACAAAAGTTAAGAAATCAAGCTCTGAATAGCACCAAATTTTCTGAAGGGTTTCCTTTGGAAAGTTTGGCGCTGCGTCTTCCAACCTGATGGCTGTCGAACCGCCGTGTTTTCCTTTGTTTTCCAGAATTGCACACTTGAAGACAGCGGCGGGTCGATAGCACCACAGAGTCAACTTTTGCGTTTAGTGCTATGTTTCAATACATGACATAGCTGGCCCATTTCTTTTCTCATTTTTCAGTTTGTTAAACAAAATGTCGCACTGAATTCTTTAAGCAACTCAATAGTGAAATGCGCCAAAGCCTCTGGATCTATAGTAAGGGACAAGCAAGAAGCAATGCATACTGCACATAAATCGATCAACTAAACAATGAATGCAAGACCCATTTGTTTTCAAGGCTCCCCAGGAAATAAATCGGATCGAGTGTCCCAACAACCCAGAAATCAAACGGGCCAAGGCCTTTGGATCGTCGGCAGGGGAAAAGCAATGCTTTTTTTCCCACCCCCTTCGCTGACCAGGTCGCACTGCAGGGAAACAATGCCTGTTTACAAGGTTTCTAAATCAAGCGCACAAAAAACAAATAGCAGGGCCAATTCTCTCAAGTTAACCAACAAATCGCAGAGAATGCTCGAAACACTGAAAACTACATGGCCCAGCTATTTGTTGTTGATTTTTCAAGCTTTCTACACGATTCAATGCTTCTTAAATTCCCTTTCCTTAGGATAAAGGGCTTTGGTTCATTAAGTTTTGAAGTTCTCGACAACATCCATGCGCCCCATATTTTGTACAGACCTTAAAATTACGTATTTAGTGTTTTGGGCTTTTTTGCAAAAGTAATGCTTCTTAAATTTCTTGTTCCTTCAGTCTAAGGTCTTTGGCTCGTTTGATTTTTCTGCTCTTTTTCATTTAACTCAGTTCAACAACTTAAAAATTCATGGGCCAGCTATTCATGTCTTAATTGTTGTAAAGTGCCTAAAAATGCATTGCTCCTTGCCTTTCCCTGACCCCCGACCCAAAGCTTTGGCCCAATGAATGGTTACCTTGGAGAAAGCTTCAGTGCGACTTGATGTCTCAAAAAACTTGAAAGTTACACGAGTCAGCTACGGATGATTGAATTTTTGAACTTTTCTAAACAAAAAATTGTTAATGTACAACGCTTCGAAGGGCTTTGGCCCATTTACTTTTGATGTTTGTAAAGGACAGTGCGACAATGTATTTGTAGATTTCCCAAAACACTTAGACGGTCAACTGCTTTCGGACTTCGTAAAGGCTGTATCTGTAGCAATGATGAATACGTGTAAACAATAGTGGATACTATGTCCTACATATATAGGCTATAATATAGGTACTACTGCATGCGAGAGAAGGCCCATCGCCAAACTAGACTATAAGGGTACGAACATAAGCGTACACACCCATTTTCGAGACTAGGGACTCGGGTCCGCCTGAAGCAGCGATGCAAGACTGCAGAGACCTACCGGGTCGGCCTTCACGAAGAACACGCCGTCTGGTGCGTCTCCGACGCACACCGCGTTGGAGCCTCGGAGCCCACGCCAGCTGCCATCAGCCAATGGCCACTTTTTCAACCGAGAGAAGCCGAGAAGAGAGCGGAGAAGTATCCGAATGACTTCTTCGATCCGCATGTCTGGCCTCTGCTTCCCCGGTGTGCACACACTTGGTTACAGGCAGGCGTAGGCATATCTTCGATGGATCGGGGAGTCGGGGCCGACGATCAACGGCTCGGCGGGATCGGCTAGCAGAGACGGATGCCTATAGTGCTTGTGGCCTTCTGACCGCATGGGACCATGGAGCCATCACGAGGGCAAGTGTGTCATCCCATGAGGCAACAGCCGCAGCGTGATTGGGGAGCTAGATGGAGTCCTGCAAAAGATGCACCACAACGCCACTGAACCAACAAAGCAAACGCTCCAAGGTTGTGGCACGACTGGCTGGCTGGTGACCCAACGATTTGGCGGAGGCACCTGGAACTACCAGCTTGCAGGAACATGCCTCAATGCATTGAAACCAGCCTGCTTCATCTCGTCTGCCTTGCTTGGTTTGCAGCGCATTTGGCATCTGCGACATCGCCAGCCTGGTGACGTTGCTTCAAACCGGCGCACTTACATCAGCACGGTTCTCAGCCAAGCCGAGTTGCCAGACAGTATTGTAACAGTTGCTGTCAAAACTGCACTTGGCGAGTCTCGGTGGTGGTACACCACAAAGTTATCCTTGCAAGCTGCAGCGACATCATTCTCCCCGCGTCTCAGGGGGGCGTCGGTCCTTGTAGCGATCTTGGGGTATTCGTCTACGCTGTGGACCTGCGTCTGGCAGACCGGCAGACGGACAGTTACAGACAGTCCAGCCTTCGACAATGGGGGATGGCCATGCCCAGCACGTCTTTGAGCACATGGGCACCATTGAATGCGAGACATGCGGGTTGCTGGCATGCTGGGGAATGCATTGTGTAACCGAGGACAGTTGCATTCCGCGTCTTTGCAGACTGTGCCTGTGTATCGAACTGGGAGACAGCAATGCTGCAGATGACACATGCCTTGAAACAACCCATGCGAGCCGTCACGAACCTCGCGTGTCACTGCACCGAGAGCACCACGCCCGCATTTTGCTCGTCGAAGCTGGCAGCGCAGTAGTCGAGCAGAGCTGCGAATCCGGGCCCTGAGGGACCCTTTTCTGCAAAGCCTGGGCCCCATGCCCGGAGTTTCCGGGGAGAGCTTTGCTCATGCTCTCTTTGACACGCTTCATCGCTCCTTTGGCACGTCTGGCTGGCCGGTCGAGCAGGCACGCTGGCGACTGCGCTGGGCTGCATGTGGCTTGACGACGGCCGTTGCTCTTCACGTCGCAGGGACCCCGTGCCGGAGGCGTTCAATGAAGGTCGCATCGCCCGCAAAATGATGCCCTTCTCCTGGACATGAAGGGGCTGGGCACGCACTGGCACTAGAGCGAGAGAGAGAGAGAGAGGGAGGGACAGACGGACAGGCAGGCAGGCAGGCAGGCAGGCAGGCAGGCAGGCAGGCAGGCAGGCAGGCAGACGACAAACAGACAGACAGGGAAAGGGCCGGACAGACAGTCGTCACGAACCGCTTCCATACGTTCGATCCAAATCATCAGCAGATTCTGGGTAGGGCATTTCGCTCCTACTGCAGTGCCAAAGAAGGAGAAAAAGAGAACGCAAGCGGCAAACAAAGAGAGAGAGACTGAGAGAGCACGAGACAATGAGCCCGATGAATAGCAGAAGCACTGGTGACCGATGGCAGCTTTCATAGGTTTGAATGACAAGCAAGCAGCAGCTGGAGCAGATCAAGTGGCAGGAGCAGCAGCACAGGGTATTGATCTCAGCGTCAAGTGTGCGATGCGTGGGCTGGCACACACCACTGGCTAATCCTGAAAGGACAAGCTAGCCATTCATCGGTAATGCAATGGCCCATTTCTCGGGCCAACATGAAGCACGATGGCACCGTCACGTGCCTGGGCAACCAGTGTGTGGCTCCTTTTTTGTCTCCCGCATGGCAGCTTCCGAGGTTGTGTGATTCAGGATGATGATGATGATGATGATTCTGATGATGCTGATGGGGGATGGTTTTGTTGCCCTTTGCTTTGGATTTTGACCCCTGTTCAGGGTCCGGCTTCCAATTCATCACTCCCGTCTTTCAGTGTCCTTCCAAGCAGCATCTGACCCCTGCACAGGGTTGGGCCAACCCACACCCAGCGCGCGATTCCTGGATCCGTCACACCCCTCTCCAGGGTCGGGCTCGAGTCTCATGCGCTGTCCTATCCATGTCAAGGATACCTCGGCATTCAAGGTAGAGTGTCACTCCTTGGGAGCCGAGCAGGAATAGCCACGTAATGTTGAAGTATCTATGTATTTATCTATGTACTTTTGTACTAGAGCGGGTCATGCCGACACGTTCTGGGAGCGGATCGAGAGGTGCTTAACAGTGGCAAGCACGGACTGCCTTGAGAAGAAAATGAACATATTGATTTCTGCTTCTGCGACTGACGACAAATTACTGAAGACTCTAGGCTTCTGTGCCCCTGATACCTTGCAATTGGAAGACATTGCATGATTTCAGAAGGCGTCTTGTGCTGGCCAAGTTTGACACGCCCAAAGGGGCTGAGCCACGAACCAGCAAAGTCAGCATGACCAGGGGCGCCCGCAGGGGACTCTTGGCATACAGTGACGTGCTGGTGTGCGTGGAAGATGTCTTACCCCTGTCGAAGGACAACGGAGCCCCCAGGACAGTCATAATCTCGTTCGGCTGCCAGACTTGGACTGGCTTTCCCCCTATGAGGAAGGGAGGTTCGTTGGGTTCCGAGCACACGATTTGAGTTTTTGGTTGACCTCAACGCCCTTTCGCCCCAAGTCTCCGTGCACCACGTTCAGTGCCTTCTGCAGTAAGTCTCGATCCGTTCGAAGACAGGCTGGAAGCCTGGACCGCCGGCACCTGTTCGTGTACACCATGGCGGTGGAGAAGGTGATAAGGGAGTCCGGTCCAGTGTAAATGTTGATCTCCTTGGCTCCTATGATGTCAGCTTTCCATGTATATCCGGCCACCCGACGTTGTCTACTAGCAATTTTGCGAGCTCCTCCTGCAGGATGCTGTCGAATGCTTTTCTAACGGCAAGTTTGGCTGCATGCCTTCCTTTTCCAGTCTTTGGTGGCGCGGACAAACTTTCGAAGGCAAAAGAGTAGTTCCACAGATTGTTTCCCTGTGGCAGTCTATTGGTGGTAACAGCATGCGTCAAGCAGGTATTGGCAACGCCCAACAACAGGAGTTGAGCAGGCTTTCTGAACTTGCTTCCAGGTCCAGGCAGGGGGTGTTTGCTGGTGGCTTTCTTCAGGAGGGACTCGACTGCTGGGCCTGAATGCTGAATTTCACGATGATGGCATCGTGATGCGAAAGGTTACTCCTCCATAGTTCGCGCCTGAATTACAGAGTTCAAGCAATGTGTGACCCGATCATGAAGTGTGTCGCAGCGTCTATTTGCATTGGTCGCTCGCTCGGCCCACTCGGCATGTTCAAGCTTAGACCTTGCCGCCTCGGATTCCTTCGTGTCTCAGCTGTTGCGCAAAATCTAAGATATGTCATCGTGCTGTCTGCACTACTTCTTGCACAAGCTTGATTCCTAGATTTTTTTGATTACCAGACATCTGGTGTATAGGGTGATGGCCTTGATTTTCCGGTCCATGGGTATCGGTTCCGTCTTAGGAGGGCTTGGCATGCGTTGTCTGCAGGAAAGTTTTGTCTTTTCGAGAACGTCCCGCGCAATCTGCAATGTCGCTGCCAGATACCTAGACGGTGCATTTGCAAGAAGTGGGAAAGTCACGTGAGACATTTGCGTGGCTGGCAAACCTATCCGATATGCCGTGGCGCCGAGAAGGCGGAAATGCCGCGCCTACCACTTACAAAACATGTTTTGTCTAATGTGATACTGATGTGCGTCACGCGGGCGGACACAAAGGCCGAACATTGTTCAAACTTTAGACAAACGTCTCTTCTGGACAAAAAGACTACGTACGTTCTGATGTAGCAGCAACACCCTCTGTAGCGATCCTCCTGGAACTCGTCCATGGTTAGAAGGCCTTCGTCCAAGCAGTCTTTCAGCTCCCTCAGGCGAGCTTTGAGACCGACCACAACACTTTGGTCGTTGTTGGGATCTCGTGGCATCGTTGTCGGAGCCGGAGGGAAGGGCTCTGCAGGTGCCGGAGGGTTGCTGGTGACCGATGGCTTGTGGGCGAGAATCGCCCCAGCCGCCCCAAGGAGCGACTTCGAGGCAACACGAAGGTCGCCGGTAGAGGACGAGACTGAAGAGACTGTCGGGTGCGAGCCTGCGAGCTGCTCTCGTTCAAGGGGCCCTCGACCGCTCAGTGGCTCACTTAAGACACTGGCACTAGCAGGGCGAGGCCGGTTTGGTCCGGAGGGACCTGGAATGCCCTCGCCCTCGCTCACGCTGGAGCAATCGGAGCAGTCGCTAACCACGATTTGCCAGGAGGGAGGGGAGAAGGACTCCAGCGCTGCAAGAGCCTCTGCTGGAGCTTCCTGGAGGGGCACGTGACGCAATTCCACGTGGTCACCTGCCGCATCCATATGTAGGAGCAGATACAGCCTGAGCTGGTCTGCTCACATGGCGACGGTGACTATGCCTTGTCTACATATGGATGTTTCTGACCCAGAAGCGGCTCCCGTGCATGGGAACTCATCGCACAGCTTCCCTCCAGCACCCTGTTCTTCAAAAATGCAATCGACCATCTGTCCTGCACAAAGAACGGCTTTCTGCTGTAATTGGGCCAGCAGTAAGTAAACAAGCTATTTCAAGCGCAGGCTGTCCGCATCCACGAGAACGCCGATGATGTCACCTCCAGCAATGCTGTCCGTGGCTTGTGGCACGGATCCCCTTGCGCGCAGACGATCCATCCAGCCCGCCATCGTCCACGCTGCTGAACTCTTGTACAACCTGCTAGTCCCACCCCAAGAGCACGGAGAAGCCACTTCTGAGTCTTGTGAGTCAAAACTCTAACAAAGCAATCCTGCCTTGCCATTGACTTGTAGCCCTGCAGGCATCGTCTTTGCCTTTAGACTTCGTCGTCCGGTGTTGTAGCCTTGGCCGTCATCCCATAGCCACTGGCTGCATGAATTGCAGTTACTTACACTTGCAACCCAGCAGCACCATCCGCGCAAGTTGTGTCCTGCAACGAGTGCACCAGCCTGAAAGTATCACGCAGTCTTTGAACTGCATTTTGATTGTTACCGAGCGCCCCTGCACACCTGCACGGCATCCGTAGTGACACCGCATCGCAGCTGATCACCTCGCAACATACGCGAGGAAGACATTTCGTGCCAGTGCAGGCAGCAACTCCTAGGGATGGACCATAGTTGCAGCAAGTACGCCGCGAGAACCCCGCGAGCACGTCGCGTGCGCGCCCCTAGATCGTCTACCCCGCGCTGGGCGAGACCAGCAGGAGACCACCAGAAAACCACCGCTATGTCAAAGCCACATGCTTCCCCCCATGTACTGGCAGGATGCAGAGATGTGACCCAAATGTCCCGCACGCCGTGGAATTTGCAATGAATCCCTTTTTGGTGGAGTGGGACGAGAGAGCGCGCAACATTACACGTGCGGGTTCAGACCTTGACCGTCGCTTGCCGGCCAGCTGCTGAAGTGGTGCACGATAAACTCGTAGAAGTGCTGGCCGTAGTGCATGGGTTGACAAGACACCGCTGTACAGTGGTCGGCGAACTCGTCGGAAAGGAATGTGATTTCAGCACCTCTGGCCGTGGCACGTTGTGGCACATCTGATCAGCAAGTAGCGACTACAGTGACTAACTATAGCGTCCCACAGCCTGCAATGCGCAAGAACCTGATGTCCGGGTTGTTGCTGTTCCAAACACCACGACACCGCTCCACCTGGAAGGGCCACGGGACAGGTCAATGGTCGCAGCGGTCTGAAGGTCCACCCAAGAGCCGAGTCGCTTCTGAGCCGGATTCGTCGCTGTGTAATCCAAGCGCAAGTCTTTTCTTGTGCCTCCGAAAAGATGCCGCCTTGCTGAGCAAAGTTCAAAGTTGTCTCGGCCTGATCTTCGCTTCCAGCTTCCTCTGCTTTGCAGCTGCTCGACGCTGCTTGAAGACCTGCAGAAACTTCAAACTTCTCAGCATTTCTCAGCTGTCAGTTGAAGGTCTCGAAAGTTGTGAAGGGAAGGCCTCTTGCTGCTGGCGCTGCTCAGACTCCAGCTTCTCTAGCTGTTGCTGCGTCCGCTGCTGCATTTGTTGCACCGCTTGCTGCTGCAACTGATCTTCTGCCTCTGCCCTTTTCTTGTCGGCGGCTGCAGCTTCGATCGCTGCAAGCTTCTGTCGTGCTTGTTCCTGTCAAGGGTGAACGAATCAATCACGTGGTGACCCTGCAAGTATTGAGCCGTCTGCCTGGTTTAGGGAGTCCTCTTCACGTTGCTTTTCGCGCTGCCTTTCTTCTTCCTCAGTACGTTCTGCGACCGTGGGGCTCGCTTGCGCAGTATCATTTGCCACGCAAAGACATGGCACCCCACCCTGCGCTGCTTCTCCGCTCGGTGTTGCTCCTACAGGTCGAAAGCCGAAAGCATTTATCCAGCTCTGTGTATTTTGGTGGCCAAAAATATCCCAGCAAAACTTTGCGGTAGTAAGAAGAGCCATTCGCCGTGGCCTTGCGTTGCTCTTCCTCGGCGTCTCGCTTCTGACGCCGCTCTTCGCGAAGTTCCTGCGAAAACGCAGTGCAATGGGGCGAGTATTATAACGGAGCAAGCGAAGGGAACTCAAGAGAGGTTCCCTTTGCGGAGTGCTGGGCATCCTGGTCAAGCAAGATGATGCGCCGCCTCGACTCCTCGCCACCGACCTGTCGGCGCTCCATGAACCGTGACGGGAGTTTGCCAGACTTGGAGGGAACCACTGAAAAGTCTCTCCACGAACGATCTTTTCTTTGAGCCCTCATCAATCAGCTATCTGAGATGAGAAGACCACAATCCACTCGATTTCTGAAACCATTCCGTGCAGTTGTCCATGACCTAGGCCGTGACTTTCAGACAATCCAGCAATCCAGCGTTTGATGGGTTTCAATGGATATTATTGGATTCAACCACAACCGTTCAAGGACTCAAGCCACCTCAGCAGGAACGAGTCGTGTGGTAGCAGTGCCATGCTGGAGTTGCAACATGCACCTTCGCCGGGAAAGCTGGCAGACAGCCGGCAATGATGGCAACGGTCCACCTTAGCGCCATGAGGTGCTTGATGTTAAACAACTAGGGCGACTGCACAAAAATGCAGCCTCAGCACGATCAAGCAACAAGACTTGGAACGCGAAGCCCAAGGAAGGCACCCGAAGAAAGCCACAACAGCCTTGCTTGCCCACCGAACTCGATCAGGCGTCAGCGGCTCGCTTCCCGCGAAGTATCTGGTTGACAGGACTGTACTGCAGCTGGGATAGCACACGGGTCCGAATCCCAAAGCGAGCCTGCCTTCGGCAGATGTAGTCAATCAGTCGAGGCTGCTCCAAGATGGCGTCCATGTCAATGTTGCGGGCGCGCTTCAGGAAGTCCACACGCACAACGGTGCGAAGAACATCGCCCCAGTCAATCGAAGATGGAAGCGTCAAAGACAGCAGCAAGTGGACGACCTCCATGACCCTCGCCAAACGGCATACACTGCGCCATCACGAGTGACGGACTCTAAATCTAAACATCCTCGCCCTCGCCTTGCCACCTCACGAGGCGGATGCTTCAGCTGCTTGACCTGGCGCGACTCGTTTTTGAGGTAAGAAAACGAGACAACTTGGCCCTGCCCAGGTCTGAGCTGAGGCCTCCCTGCCTCCTCGATTTCTTTGTTGTTAATGTCCCGCAAAGGATGCAGCTCGGCCTCCTGCCACCACAGCGGAGAACTGCGAAGTCGACAGCTAAGCGAGAAAAGCGGCTCCTCACCGCCTGCACGGCGAACTGCCGTGAAGACCTGGTGGGCGACGGCTCCGGCGGGGGCCCCGGCCCCGTCAGCCCGACCCTGCATGGCCGAGCTACCCACCTTCATCTTGGATCCTAGTTCCTCGCTTTAAATGCCTAGATCTCTAGCTATGCCGCAATCGATGACTTTCTGAAGATGCTTGAACGTGAAACAGGCAACACCACGAACTGTCAAAGACAAGTAGACACTGCACTAATGGGGAAAAGCTTGCAAACCAAGCCGTAACCGCACTCTGCATAAAGGTCCATGGTACATAGGGCCTAGTGGCCTAGTGTAGGCGGCTCGGAAGCAGCAGCGGGGGCGGGCTGGACTGTGGAACAATGCGTCGGTGCTTCACAGCTCCAAGCGCCAAGAGCATGCACCAGTCGCCCTCTTCCCATTTTGTCTCAGCTCGGGAATGGGACTTAGCGAAAGAGGGCAGACCACCGCGCCTTGCACCGAGAAACTGCGCTCCTTCTTCTTCCGACCCCGCCCGTAAGCTCGGCTGGTGATGTGCAGAAGTGCACCGCAGGCACACGCCATGCCCCTAAAGGATTTGTTCTGACGATAATCCCAAAGAGTCTTTTCCTCGCCCCAGGCATGGCCGATACCCTCGCCGCCCTCCCCGGCGCCTTCCTCTTCGCCCTCAGTGCCACTTGGAAGAACGGAAAAAGCCGGGGCCTCCGGCCTTTGCGGCTCCCGCTCGGAGCAGGCCATGGGGGCTTCCCGGCTCAGGGCATCTTCGATGCGGCGCCGGCGGTCTTCCTCCATTTTTGGGTCGTTGTCGAAGTAGAAAATCTCGGCTTCCCCATGTCGCGCACGGCCGGCTCCCTGAACGTGGCTCTTGGCACTGCTGAAGAAGTCATAACGCACCACATAGCGACAGTCTGGCACATCCAAACCTTCCTCCAGAGATGTGGTGGCTACCAAGACTCGGCAGGTGGTGCGGAACCGCTGCAGATTCCACTGTCGAAGACCCTCCTCCATGCCCTGAACACCACAAACCTCGCCAAGCTAGTTTTCATTGCGCTAGCCAGTCACTTGCAGGGCAACATGCGCGAAGAACAAGACTGGCCGGGGCGCATGGGCGATCTCGACCCCAGTAGATGCTTCCAGAAGCCGTGCCATAGGCCCAGCCACCGACACGCGCTCAACAAAGACTAAGATCTTGTCGGAAGTCGAACCCGACAGGAGACGCCTCAGAAGCTGGCGCAGTGCCTCAAACTTCCCGCTCACCTCATCACTCACTGTGTTCACCCTGGCCAGGACTTCCCGGCACTGAGGCAGCAGTACGAGGGCCCTCTGCAAGCACTCCATGGTGTCTCCGGCGTCTCCATCTACAAACTGCAACTTGCTGGAGAGCTTCGCCTTCGAGCACGGGAGATGCTGCAGTCAAGTGCGAGACAAGTGCGACATCTTGCCTGGACCACTTCGACGAGGCTGTCCTGCACCTCGGTGCGAAAAAAAGAGCCAGAGATCGCCCATAGAGGCGTTTTGGAGGAGCTTTGAGGCCGAAGGGCGAAGGGCTGGTAGGCTGCGGGCCCCAGGCTCTCCAAGACTCCACGGAGCCGACCCTTTTCTCGAGAAAGGGAGCTCTGAAGCTCCCAGTTGAACTCCAGCTCCTTGGCCAAGTCCTCGACGAGGACATCCAGGCGCCTCGCATAGCCGGCGTAGGCCGCCGCCGAGGCCGCTTCATCTCCTGCTGCCTCGAACCTGCTGGCATCTGCTGGCTCTGGGCTCTCTCGTCCCGCCCGATGCAGCTAGACTTGCCGTCTCTAAGTATCTAAGGCCGCGTGACCAGGGCACTGCCGTGAAGCGCCGCTCGCTGTGCGACAAGGTCGGGTGAACCTCAGATCCAATGCAACCCTGGCAAGCAGTGGCCCCCAAGCTCTCGTGGCCCTCCGAAGGCCTGGGGCGAGAAAGCCTGGGCCCCGAAGCGCTCCTCCAGCACCTCCGGTTTTGGCAGGGCTAAGCCACACCGTGGAGGCCTCCGGTGCCTCCAGCCGGCGTTCCGGATCCTGGCGCCCGCTTCCCACCGAACCGAACTCGCTCTTTGGGCCCCTCTTAAGGCCCTGGCCGCGTTTCCATGCAGGAAGCTGGCGGTGAGTCCCAATATCCGTGCCGGGCAGCAGCCCTCTCGCAGCCGTCTCAGAACTTCGGCGTAGGGGTGGCGACCTGCTTCGAGGCTCCGAGTCCATAGTCATCCCCCGTCCCTGCCGGCCAGGCCTACTGCGTGGTGTGCCTCAGACACTCTCTCTATAAGATGTGTCCAATAGCAGTAATCACAAGCAAGTCTAGCCCCATGCAGGCCCCTCACCTCATCGAAGATTACGCAGCGAAGCTGTTGGGCAACAATCTGCCCTGTCTCGAGAGCGATCCGAATCACCTCGCCGGTTGCGACGAAGACCTGTCACCGCAGCACCGAAGCACAGAAACAGCTACAGAAAATGTACGCCGCGGCTCGTGCCTCGGCTTGGGGAGTGCTGGCCACAGAGAAGTTTTGCAAGCTGTGCCGGCGGAGATACTCCGTCTGCTGCGCCACGAGCGCACGTGAGTTCACCACAAAGACGCTCGGAACACCCAGCGCGTCCAGTAGCATGCACCTTTGCAGCACGTTGCGAACTGTCATGGCTCCTCCGGACAGCACTTTAAGCTTCAAATTTATCCTTGCGGCGCAACCAGAGTCTTCCCACTGCCAGTCGGCATGTTCAGGATCGAGTTCTGGCTGAGGGCTTTTCTGAAGGCTTCCAGCTGATGAGGCCAGGCCCCGTATCCTCAAGCGGTCTGTCTACCATTTTCAACACGTCAGACACATCGCCTCGAAGCGAACACTCAGAGCTCAACGATGCGCCCAGGCTTCCCAGTCATGAGAGGCATTGTCCATAGCTAGCCAGTATTGTGTCGCCTATATCGTGTACGTGAGCAAAGACCTGTCTTCGAGCACTTGTCTATAGAATGGGGTATTCCCCAGCTGCCCGATGCCAAAAGCACGTCTTATCGAAGGTTTACATGCTTTTGTCCATGGCAGCCGCCTTTTGTGGTCGCCCAACATGCTGTACTGTTGCGGCTTCCCTTCGTCTCATCATGCATGAGCGACGATACATCCCTCAGGCTCTTGACAAGCGATACGCCGAGATCGTATATGACACCAGCTGCAATTGCACTACAGGTCTTGATGCAGTTCCGAGGTTGAGGCGAACAGCAGCATGTTTTCGAACTTGGAGTCACTCGGCTGCGCGTCTCTCAGACTCGGCAGACCTGCAGGCACTCTGCAGGCGGAGCCGCTGCTCCCAGGGTGTGAACTGAGCAGCGAGCCCGGTTTTGTGGCTGACAACGCCGGCTTCGATCAAGTAGGGGATCTCAGCCGCCAACCATGGCCCCAAAGCCTCAGAAAAAGAGACCGAGACCCAAAGCAGCTCCAGAAACCCTCGCCGAGGGTCAGACAAGAGAAAGGGCATGTGCTATGCCGAACTTCGGCACATTTGTCCTTTTTCCATCACAGCAAGAAAGCAATTTGGGGAGGGTGTACGTCTGGCCTCCAAAGTGGAGCGAAGTGAATGTCCAAACAAATCTTCCCACCACGGTACCTTGACACTGAGAGTCTTCGGAGCATCCGTCATCAACATGGGACCATGGAGGCACATCTTCGGTGTCTTCCCGTCCAGCTCTGGCAGTTCCTACAGGACGGAACTTGCAAAAGCCAACCTGTGGGTGATACGTCAGCGGGGCTGCGGCCAATTCGATGGGCACAGCTGGATAGCCCGCGGGGATCTTAGGGGCGGCGCAAGACAGCGCGCATACCACGTGCGCGGTGGCAAAGCTGTCGCAAGTGCCTCAAACTGAAGCTTGAACTCGTATTTTAGCAAGTTGTGCACATACCTGGGCGGGGCGGCGGGTTTTGCTCATGCCACCCTTTTTCGGACGTCGGGGGTGTGGCCAGCAGGTGCCGGTCCATTTCGTTCCATCCTATACAGCCACATGCACCTGCTCTCCGTGAATCAAAGACGCGCATGCGTTCAAGCCCGCCTCATTGGAGAGGATCTGGAACCAGTCGCTGTCATTCTCCTTCCGGCTGGCGGTTCTGCTGCAAGCTTCTGGACTTGCTGAGTTGGTCGGGCCTTGTTGTTCTGTACATATCTAATCAATGCCATGAGCTCTTCTTTCAAGCGCTCAGCCTTAGCACAGTGCATAATGAGGTCAATCTCTCAGGAATCCCACAGCCATGGGATCCTGGCCCACTGTTCATCACGGGGTCCAGCTTTGACACTTAGAAGCGGGATCTTCTGAACTGCTGCCTCAGGGACTGAAGGCGCAGATTGCAGACTTCAAGACCTTCAGTCTCTCGAAATTTGCTGCCCGGGAGCTCTGGTCTTCTCGTCATACAACATCACCTCGTGCCACTCCTCATCGCGGCGTCTGCGACTAAACCAGGTCGCAGGGCTGCGTACCGAGGGCGTTGCGGCCAGCCTGCGCAGCCTTCCCCAGCTCTCTAGCTGCCTCTAGCTGCTAGCTTGCAAGCCTGGAGCCTAGAGGCAGCTTCGGTCCTCGACTGCACTCGGCTTCACAGGTCGGCGGAGCTATTCCGAGATTTCCCCCTTGTCGGACCAAGGCAACAAATCTATCTGCTTTACAAGGGTGAAATTGGCATGTCCTCACGAATTCCCGACTCCTGTCTGAACACGAAGCGGCCAAACGAGCATCAAACTCTAGAACAGGCCGTGCCAGGCAACGATGCCGAGATGTGCCAAAAAAGCGCGAATTAAATTCCAAACACTTTGGAAAATTATGTGAGATTGCCAGATCCAAAGCATGGCCGTTTGCGTTAGGCAAACAGCACTCTTCTCGTCTGTACAGTTGCTTTCTTGTCCTTGGCTTCTCCTGTCCGTGTTTCCCGTCTCAGGCACCACCGCCCCGCACAACTTTGTGCAAAGGGAGCTGCCCTGGCAAGACTGGCCAGTGGCCTTCCACGCCCTCCCTAGATGCAGAGAGATTTATCTTAAACTTAAGACTTAAGTCGCGAGGATAGAAATGGCGGCACACAGATACACACACAAGATGCTGGAGAAGAATCTGCGCATCGAGTAGACGCCTGACTGTGCGGCTGATGGAGCAGCCGCGAGTGCAGCAAAAGCCCGCAAGGCAGCACCTTGCGAGTGCCATCTCTCCTCTTCGGGACGCGGTGCGTCATAGCCGTGTCACAGCGTGTGGCCTTGTGCGGAGCTCCGACTAACCCGAGGGCCTGCAGCTTCGTCTCGCCACTGCAAGAATCTAGCCAGTAACAAGTAGTAGCAGGCCTGGTGACGGCGCTAGGATCACCCCGGTCGGATGGCGGACCTCGCAGACCCAGGATATAATGAAGCTCCGGAAGGATAGGATGTGCCATCAACGGAGTAAGAGCAGGGCAGGGACTGGAAGCGAAAATTGCGTTCCCCTGAGGTCCAAAGGAATGCCAAGCATCGCGGCATTGCGGCCTCAGATTCGATGACGGGAGGTGTAGTAGTGCAGTGTGTAGAGTATGGGAAGCTGTTTCGTTCTGTTCGCGCACTGTGGCTGCCAGGGCCTTCGTCTTCGTAAAAACAGAGAAACCGAGGCCCGCTCGAATCCTCTTGCCAGGCGACCTCGGAAGAGCCGCTTCATGGACGGAGTTAACCAAGGTGTACAACAGGACCTCAAGTAAGAACACATCACACTCTATAACAGAAGTGCCACTCTGCTCTCACCACCTCAACAGCAGGCAGAGCAATTGCACGAGGTGAAGCTCCACCACTCGTTTGGTGCCATTGGTGCCTGTTTGGTGCTAGCCGGAAGGATTCCCAAGTTGCTCAGGCGGCAGGCCTGCAGTGCTCGGGTGCCGTGGGTGACCGCTTGCTGTTCTTGCTTGCTTACGTGGCGGGATGTATACCAATGCTTTCCGCAAAGCTGGTGCTGCCCAACTTCCGTTGGGATCGTAGCAAGCCCAAGGCTGTCCTGCCAAGCTTTGATGACGTCTTTTGCACGAAGGGCATGCCGCTTTCCGTAACGTCCGAACCTAGACTTGTCAGTCTAGGTTCGGATGACTCCATGGCCAGGGACTCTCAGCAAAGGGTTTGCTCGTGATGGGCCCGCTCCGTGGTCCTTTGGCCTGGGCTGAAGCCCAAAACAAACAAAGCTAGAAACTCAACATCTCGAGACAGTCCCAAGGAAAATAGCATCAGCAACCCAAAGGAGCCACCATCCAAACAGAACAAAGAGGGAAGCACTGTTGGCCCATGTGTTTAAAAAATGGTTCGAAATTGCATGTTGTCTTTTGCATGCAAACACGTCTTGACATACAGCCCCTGCTCGCCTCGCTACTTTCAAGACAGTTTCCTTAAGAACCACCAAGTAAATACGAATAGCAATAACAAGATATAAGGTAATCAAAAAGGTTGAAAATTTACAAGCGGAAGCGCTAATGCTGAATAAGAAGATCGAAGAACGGCAACAACAAGTCCGCTTCAAACCTCAAGCAACCCAAGCCCACTCGCAGAGCCACAACGCACTTTCTTTTTGCACTCATGTGCATGTCTTGGGTGGCACATGCTTCGGTGTCTTGCACAGCACTGCTGTCACCTGCGTTCTCGTCGATCCGCGGCTTTTTTGTTGGGTCCGTGACGACATAGAGCATCTAGGCAGGGGCAGGGCACCCATTCCACGATTCCTCGCGGATTGTAGGCCAGTGCGACATGCCAACACTGTTGGCACGTCGCCGTTGCAGCTGGGCCCCAAAATGAAAAGGGGATCATCAATGGATCCTGAAAGGCTGGCGGGGCAACAGGGTCACTGGGATTCACTGGGGTGACGGCTGGGCTCGAGGAGGCTACGTGCAGCATCGAGCTCAAAAATACTTTCAGCTGATGCCCTTCCACATGTGGTGGCAAGTGTTCGAACAGTGTCGCCCGGGCATTTCTCCCATCGTGATACAACGAGTTCGATGTCCAACCGTTCCACTCTATGCACTACACGCACCTGACCCTCCCGATTCCCGATGTTAAGATATGCAGAGACGTTTTAAACGTCCGTTGAAGGTCAACTCCAGGAACCCAATAGGTGTGGACCGGTGCAGACGTGTTTTTTTGCCTCCCGCCTGGCTAGGACGAACCTACGATGCAGGGTCTGTAAACGGCAAATCGAAAAAGAGAGATCAACATGCTTTCAGCACGGACGGATAGACGTGTTAGACTCGTATATACATAGCCAGGTGACATGGGCGACATGGGCGATGAGGGCGAAGAAGGGGTTGGACCCTTCGCTCTCGAACTCGGCCTGCCAGCAGAAGTTTTTGGTCTGCTCTGCGCGTGCGCAACCGGTGCTGTCGTTGCGAGGCGAGGAGCTCATGGAGCTCCGCGAGCACTGACGGCACGCCGGGCATGCAACCAGGAGGCGAGACTCTCATCAGGTCAGCAACGTGTTGTGCCTGTGTCGCAAGAGAACATGGGCACTGCAGCTCTGCGATGCTCTGCGGTCTTCACGCGTCCAGAGTCTTTTTTGGGCAGGTCTGGGGTGCAGCAGTGACCTGCATTGACCGCTGTTCTTTCTGCGGTGCTGCAGTAAAGCTTACACAATGCCCTAGGGCGGATGGCATCTGTACACTGATGCAGAAGTCCTGCAAGCCACCCTCCAGTCAGAGGCCCGCCGCAGCACAAAGGCGCGCCAAGTGGGAGATTGGCCTCCTGCGAGAATCGGCGCATGATCAAAGCCAATGTTTCCGACAGGGATAGGCACAGGAACTCGGTGCACATCGTGCCTGTCAGAGTCCAGCAACTCCTCTGGCGAGCCCTGCTCAACCACCAGACCAGCATCAAGCACCACTACCTGAACGACCCGATGGTAGCAACAGCAGGAATCATGTGCAACATTAGGTGATAAGTACGTAGTCGCAATACAGACAAACGAACCTAGATGCTATACCCGCAGGAGAGAGGTGTGCAAAGCAGAAGGTATGCGTAGTCTCTTGTCAAGCAACCGGAGGACAAAGGGATAAAGTCGTTCTACCAGACTGCAGAAGAGGGAGGACACTACAGGTACACTGCACTCTCAAGGAGAACAGCAGCGGCTGCACCGGCACCAGCACCACTGATCAGAGTTTTGCAAGCTCGGCTCCAGCGAATACAGGGACTACACTGACTACGCTTGCATCAAGAGTTGCTTGTTGGAATCGAGCGATGTGCTGAAGCCGATGGCCTCAGCTTTCGTGACTGCGCTGCGACGGCACCATGTGTTGCCAGTGCTGCCATGCGGCAAATCATCATGACCGTCGCATCCATTTCCAGCACCACCTGGTGCACCTCTGCAGAGAAACACTGCTGCGACGCTCCCTAGAAACCGGATTCTCTCGGTCGGGTCGAGGCTTCGGCCTTCTCATCCGTAAGGACATCGATGTTTGCCGTGGCCTCGTCGCAGAGAAGCATGCGTGGAGGTGCCCAATCCTCGAGGCTGCAGGGGATGCTTGGCACAAGGACACGCGCAAGCGTCAGGAGCTGCCGCTCTCCCACAGAGAAGTTGCCACCAGCAATGTCCACACGGAAATCCAAGCTCCCAGGCAATAAGCGCACCTTCTCTGCCAAACCAACGGCAGACAAGCAATGCCACAGCACCTCATCATCGTGCTCACTCGAGCCCATGGTCAGATGCTGCCTCAAGGAGCCAGAGAGAAGGAAGGCCTCTTGCGACACTACGCGGATGCTCATTCGCAGAGTCTGCAGCGACAGCTGGCTGATGTCCACTCCATCAATCAGTACACGGCCAGACGCAAGTGGGTACAAACGGTTCAGCACACTGAATAGAGAGCTCTTCCCACAGCCGGTGCGTCCACAAAATGAGAGTTTGGCTTTGCCAGGGATGAACAGGTCGACTCCTTTAAGTACCAGTGCGCGATGGAGCCGGTAGCGCATGGTCACAGCCTCCAGACGCACTTCTCCCTGGCTGGGCCAAGCAGTCCCGAGCATGGCACGCGCCTCCTCGTCCCCCTCATTGCGGCAACTCTCCTCTTCAAGGCGCAGATACTCTGCGACTCGCTCCACGGACACAAACTTCGTCTCAACATCAGCGGCCCCCATCCTTATGCCAGAAGGTCTTGTGCGCTGCATAAAACTTGATCCGGAAACGCCTTCCTAAAAACACTTCTCACATCTAAGTCGCATGTAGTCCATCATGCCCCGCTGTAGTTGTGCAGAATAAAGGAGCACCAGGCCCATGTGACCCGCTTGCATAAGCCCTCGCCGGGATAGCTCCACGCACACAAAAGCCGAGATGCAGTACAAAATGCAGCCCCACTGCGTAGTCAGCGCCTTGGCGCACGCACACACACACACAGAGCACCATCAAGCTGCAATTCCTGGTCGACTCACGTTCCGGACATAGGGTCACTGGTTGGTGCAGCAAAGCTTCCTGTGCCCACTTTCCAACCGCTTGATTGCCATACAGCCCCTGGGCCATTGTGCTGATGTGCCTCAAGTTTTCCTTCTCGAAGCGAGCCTCACGAACACTGGATAATTTCAGAAGCCAACTTAAGCCAGCTTTGGCCCTTTGCCCGCCTCAGCCGCAAAAGCCCGGACGGTCTCCCGACCGTGGAGCGTATCGCCAAAATGGGTGTAGACCGGGCTCCGGGCTGCGCTCTCCAAGCGGCGCGAGTCGCGGTTCGGAATTCGCATGCGCTTGTAGATCATGGAGTAGGGTACGGCGAGGATCGGCAAGCTGCATAGTACCCAGGGAGCCTCGATGTAGACCAGGGAGAGCTGGGTCACAATCGTCAAAGTCTTCATGATCTGGTCCGAGATCGAATCCGGCAGGAAATTGTCGATGTTCTGGACGTCTTGCAGAAAACGGTTCAGAATGCGACCAGTAGGCGAAGAGTCAAAGAAGGACATGGGCGCACTCAAGACCTGCAATGCTTTCTTCAGCAGCAAGTGGGCCGTATAACGGTATAAGTAAAAGCAGCTTGGCCCCGCCTTGCACAGCATGTCGCTATGGATGCCTGACATAGCATTCTGATGCGTATTGCACTCATCTCAGCCTGCATCTGTCTGCAGCCGCGCTGCTGCGAGATGCACGGAGAGCGCACACTGTAAGCAGGATCGCTTGGGTGCAGTTTGCCAAGGCTGTCGAGATGCTGATCAGGAAATAAATCAGAACGTTGTGTTCTTGCTCAGTCGCCGACTCTTTGCCACTAGTCCATTCAGCAAGATATAAAGTGCTCCTTACATGTTCATTGCCTCGCCTGCTAAGTGAATTGGTGGGTTATGAAGACAATAAGAAGGCGTTTCAAATCGAACGGCAAGGGGGCAGGATCTGGCTCACAGCGGAGAAAACCATTACGCAAAGCATGAGGGTGATCACGCATCTGGAACCGAAGGCTTGTAGGTATAGTCGGAAGTCTGGCCAAGAGATCATTCCTGGCGAGGTTTGCTGTCACACACACACATATGCAGGTCGTCGCAGGTCAATTGGGGCACCTGCCTTCACGGATGAGATCGGTCTGAAGGTCTGCAGATCCACTGAGGGTTTCTCGGACGCTGCGGATCAAAGCTGCATCAATGCGGCGTCCCTCCAAGGCTCCCAGCACGGAGCCCACAGCAGACTGGCATTCTGCAAGACTGATCAACTCATCAGCATTGCGCTCCCTCTCGAGTGTCTCTGACAAGGAGCTCGATGATGACTGCCGGGACAAAGCTTCTTCCGATTCGGCAATGTCCCACTCCTGCACGAGGCGCAGGAAAACATCACCGCTTTTCGCCAATTCGCTCCATGGTCCGTGTAGCCACAGCTGGCCTCATTATAAGCCAATCAAGGAAAGCCCTTCTGCTGGCTTCCGAGTTGCAGTTCTTTAAACTTGAGACCGAGCTTCCGTTCCGAAGCATGATGACAGAGTCCACCTCCGGGCGTGAAAGGTACTGAATTTGATGGCTCACCAAGATAACAGTCTTCTTGTTGCGAAGAAGCCCTTCGATGAGGCAGCTGTCCCAAATGTAGCGAGCAGTGTGCGCGTCAACAGCGCTGAGGACATCATCCAGGCAGACCACCTCCGAGTTTGAATACACAGCGCGAGCCAGCGCCACTCGAGCCTTCTGTCCACCCGATAGCTGCACCTTGAGACTCAGACATCGAACTAGAAGTTATACCACGAAATGGCGAGGGCAGTCATCGGGTCTGAGTCTGAACCGTAAAAGCAAGAAAGTCTTCGCGGCTCTTGCAAGCTCTGGAACTTTTCCCCGCAAATTTAGTCTCACAATAATAAGTTACTATAGGAACTATGACTCACGAAAAGGGCTCAACAGCAGCCTTGCGGCTCCGCTTTCACCAACCGGGGTCGCATCACCGCTTGAAAGGCTGCCCAAATCCTCTACAAGCGCTGCCATGCGCAGCGCAGATGCATATTTGTCTTCATCCAGTGGGAGTCCGAAGAGGATATTCTCTTTCACCGTGCCGTTCAGAAGGAAGGGTTTCTGGGAAACGAAGGCCCTGTGCCCACTCACGTGACACTGGCCACGAAGAGGAGGCCGTGAGCATGCCAAAGAAGCCAATAGAGTGCTCTTCCCGCTGCCGACTGGCCCAGCAATCATCACAAAGCTGCCCTTTGGAACCTGGAAGCTCACCTGCTCTAAAATGCAAGTTTCCTGTAAGTTCGCATTCGCATCCCAGTGTCTGTAGCCAAAAGCCGCATTCTGGACGTCCACGGCAATGCCGGTGCAAGCTGCAAGGCCTTGGAAAGAGCTTGCACTCAGCCAGGGCTCCTCGTGCCACGGTCGCACAAATTCCACGCCGTGCACACCATCCACGTCCCTCTCCCGAAACGAGGCCTGGGGGGTAGTAATGGGAGTGGTCAGGAAGCGGTCGATGCGATCGAAGCTCGGCTTCAAATTGGCCACTGCACGGTAAATACCGGGCAAAGCCTGAACGGACCACTGCAATGTGGAGATCCAAGCCAGAGTTGTGAATGCCGTCGCCTCACGGGGTGACACAAATCAACGCGACCCGGTCAAGTCTATGAAGCCTATGAGCGCATCGAGAGCCAAGCGGCAGCATCCAGCCTCTCGCCACGTACGACAGTGTACCAGGCGAAGATGCTCACTGGCACCATGACACTCAACACAGAGCCCACTAGGGTGTTGAAGGCTCCCAGGATACGAACTCGAACAATTGCCTCAGCAGAGTCAGCAAGTCAGCAAAAGGCGCTGGCAGCAACAGGTGATCTCTTTTGGCTATGTTGGAGCCTTCATCTCCGCGTTCCTGGCCGCAGATAAGCGGGACTGCCATACAGGCTCCCAAACCTGGAGCTTCACCGTCCGGATTCCCCGAACCATCTCGCTCATCAAGCTGGCACGGTGATCGCGACACTCTTGGACCACCTGCAAAAGAGAAACCGGACGCTGCCTAATAATTAACTGCAATAAATAAATAAAATATACCTTCTAAAACCAGAACCTGGAATAAAGGAGGTTCTTGTTTAAAACCGGGTTATTACCTGAGGAACTAGGTTTTGGGGGGGTTCGGTTTTGCAGGAGTCTTCCAGTCCTGGAAAGGCTTTGCTTTGGGGCTTTGGTGGGGGCTTTCTTGGTTCGTTTGAAATGCTAAAGCATGACTATGGGTGTACTCGCACCGACAGTCGACGGGCTTTTTCGCTCAGCGGACAGAGCTAGTGAGTGCTGTTGCTGCGCGACCGAACTGATGCTCATCTTGCTCAGATGCGATTCATATTTTGATTGACTATATCTCGGTATCTACATCTCTGACGATCATGATGTGCCCCGTCATCTGTGCAAGATAAGCATACCACACTGCACCATCTGCGCATACGAAGCTTCCAGACTTCTTTCAAAGGTCCAGGACCTTTGATCATAACAGTGCGTGCAGCGGTCCTGCGGGTGATTCTTGATGGCCTTCCGATGTAATCCTCTTCGATTTGGCAGCTGTGAACTAGCGGAGATAACGCGAACTCCGCCCGATTTCCCTGATCAAAAATATATGATCTGGTTACACTCGGACCAGCATGGGAGACGCAGCCATCTCTGTTTTACATGCACGATGCTGAACTGGCTGCTGAATGAATCGTGAACGGTGGAATACAGCCGAGAGCTCAGAGCCTTAAGGCTTGGCCGCACAACTCTGAGCTTGGTGAAGTGCCCCCCCTATCTATATTATATATAATATATATATATATGCACACACACACACACTCATATATTCTTCGCGAGTTTCTAATCTAACACAGTTGAAGCACGACTTGCGGCCTTTGTCCAGGATTGCAGACATCTCCCCAGGCCGCGGGAAATGCCGGCCCCTAGCACCACCATAGCTGTACCAATGAACGCGGCAGAGCCCACCTCCAGTGTCTCTCCACTACGCACAACAAAAACAACCTTGCCTGACATGACTACAGCCCCCAATTCAGTAAAGACTTGGAAAGAGACTTCCAACTCTGATCCTACCAAAGGCGACGCCAGGCCCGCCAGGCATACCCAGCACAGAATCTTCAATGGCTAGATACTCGTGGTTAGACATCGTTACACCGAAGCCCCGGCCAACTGGTAGAGGAAGTAGACGAGAAAGGGTAAGGAAGCGAATGTCCAAGACCACTGTGACAGGGAAAAGAGCAAGGAAGACCACTTGCCGATCTTGTCCGCGTCCGTGGCCATGAGGTTGGAAATGCGCCCGACATCCAGCTCGTGATCTGGTACGCAGAGTGACTTGCGAAAAATCGCATGCACCAGTACCGAACGGACATTGTTCTGGACGCGACCAGAGGCAAAGAAACAGATTTCCATGCAGGTGACACGCACTAGCATTGAAAGGCTCAGTGCACCGACCAGGCAGAGCTGCACCGGGAAGCTAACTTCCGTGCTCCCAGAGTCCTGCACTGCGTTCAGCCTCGGCTATATTAATCATTTTCATGCCATGGCAACCACAAGAACCACAGTGGACAACCGTGTGCTCCGGTTCGCTCTTTGCTTGCAGGGTGCAGCACACGGAGCATGAGTGGGTCGATGGTCATAAAGAAGAGAAAAGTCCAACCGTGAAGCACGGAATACAGGAAGACCTCTGTGAGAAACTGTAGGTCACTCTAGGTGCGAGTTGGAACATCCTCGCTACAATCACCAGCTGAAGCTATAATCTAGAATGCCTGAGAAAGCAATCAGGAACATGGAGATTAACTACTATCGATTCAGGCTTTGCAAATAACCAGCATAAACCAGCCAAAACGCCCGCCACTGGATTCTCCAGCAGACTGAACAGAGGATGCGTGCACTCTTGCCCCTTGCCGAGCGCCACAGGCTCGCCACCTTGGAAAAGAGGAACTCCGGGTCGTCCTTGGCAAAGAGAATCAGACAGACATGGACATTTTCCGGGGAGACACGATGCGATGCCAAGGGTCGACGCGCGGCAGCTTTGGCAGATCTTCCTGCGCCAGACGGGCCCTCCGACTGGCTGCACGAATGGATGGGAAGACCCACCAGAAAGTGTACCTGAACAGGGAGTTTAACAAAAAGCCGCTGTAAGCAGCGGAGCAGAACCCGTGAGTTCAGGGAGAGGAGGGGAAGCTTCGGGGGGGCCCTCCTGGAGAGAAAAGTTGCAGCATCCTCGGGGGCCGTTAGCCGAGCGCATCCGGGCAGCAGTTCTCTGCGACCATCAGAGAGCTCTACTCCCAACATGGGGCCATGGATCCACCCCTTTTTGTTCCACTCTCTGATTCCTTTGGGCCAGAGCTGCCTTTAGCTTTCGGAGGAGATGCCCTGACATATGATTCATCATATGATCATATGTGCACGCCAGCTCCTGGCCCTGGCCTTCATTGCTCGCAGGCTCCGCCTCGGTTGCGGCGCGCTGCACTGGGCCGAGTGCGCACATCGGCAGCCCGGGTCCACAGCAAAGGCTGCGGAGAGATCGGGGAAGTCGGAATTCCGCACCTCACGATCGTACGCCGTCGAACGTCGAAAGAAGCCCAATCTAGATGTATCTGCTGACACGGCCGCCGTTGCAAAGCTGCAAAGGGAGAGGACGCGGACCTCTGCCACGGAACAGGCGAAGAACAAAGCAAGCAGCTGCATAAGAGCACACCTCTGTAAGGAGTCCTGTAGTAAGCTGCTCTTGACAAGCACAGCTTCCCAAACGCTCCTGCATTCCGGCGGGGGGACAGCGACAGCGGCGACGGCGGCGACAGTGCCAGGGATGGGGAGCTCCAAAGCCTTAAAGGCAAGGCCGCAAGTGTAACAAGTCTTGTTAGAATGGTGACGGGCAGAGAGTTCCCGATCTGCTTGCGTTCGGCCAAGCTGCTTCGCTGGAGCTCGCCGCACTGGGCATCGCCATGGCGAGGCGCGGCTCCCCCCAAGCCCAAAGCACCTCACGAAGAAGTGCGCACAAATCCCGCCAGCTGCAAGTAGATCTGACCGCAGCCCCGTTTAAGTAGGGACCCGGCGCCGGAAGCCTGCCCTCCCCTGACGAGCGCGTCCCGGAACATAGAGCCGCGGGTGGGCACGTTCTTCTTAAAGCGAGCACTTTCCGCACAAGCAAGGCTGTTGACACAGTCTCAGTGGAGATCTCTGTTTTCGGCTCATTGCTTTCGGAAGCTCTCTGTGAAAATGGGCGCCGTGGCAGTCTCACTGGCTGCACCAGCATGCCCATTTCGATGATGTGCCTCCTCCCGTCCGTCTTTGTTACTGGATGACCAGCTGAAACAAGCCCAACACCCTGCTGGCAGTTCCTCACATCCATCGGACCCCGTGTTCTGGCCCATGTAATCCTGCAGGGGAAGAAGCGTTGCATCGGCGCATAACAAATCCAAATCCAAGGCAATAAAATCATGAGCACAGAATCGAGCGGACTCCGTAGGACAAGCAGCCCCCGTCCATATGGTCTTTGAGGTAGAAGAGATCTACGGGGAGATCCCAGTATCTCCCAGCACACCTGAGGTCCTCTGCCTGGAGCAGCTAGTTGTACATAGTTGAAGTTGCTGCAGTGCAGAGTGCAGCGCTCTGAGCAGCGAGCCTGTTGGCAGTGGCGAAATCCTGCACCTACGTCTCCGTCGTAAAAGACCTCGAGAGGATGAGAAAAGACCGCATCGCTTGAAAAGGCCCATCTCTGGGCCTCCGAGGAGAGGTGCTGGAAGCCAAAGTCCTCTCAGCTCAAAGCTGGGAGCTGAGAAAGGACGCACAGCCCCCTTCGGCCCTAACCGAACTCCTGGGGCGGGACATGTGGGACCGGATCCCTGTGATGCGTCACCTCAGTGAAGCGAGCTATAGGACCGTCGGAATTGTGGAAGATGGAGCAAGGAGGACCGAGGATGTGGCTCTGAAAAACTTGCCAAAAAACCTAACAGAGTCCAGCCCCCCCCCCCGTCAGATACTTATCAGCTTCAAGTGTCCTTTTTGCACCAAGGGGTGGACAAGTGGTCGAAGTTAACGGCGAAGGTGGCATCCCCTGTTCTCGGCATGCCGAAAGTGTAGCCTTCTTTGATCCTCCAGCCCTTCTCGGAGAGGTCCACCTGGATGCAGCAATAGCCCGCACTGCTGCAAGGAATCCGTGACGCATCGACATCCAAGGCACCATGGCCAAAGTGCCTCGGAGACTTGGCGTGACAAAAACTGGTGTCAGCCACTTCTGCTGAGCATCCTGCTGATGGCCCCCCCAAGGGAATGCCCTGTAATGACCTCAGGATGTTCAAGATCCCCGCCCCCCCCCCCCCATGAGGAGATGCTCGGAGTGCTACGAGCTGCCTGTTTGAACACGTCTTTGTCAGCACACTTTGGATGCAGCTCTGCAGGCTCTCCCACTCCTCAACCATTGGCGTCAAAGTATCGCTGCTCTCAGTTCCACCCGAAGCTCAAAAAGTCTGGGTGTCCGACGGCAAGAAAGCCACTGTGGACCTTGCCGGCGCCACACGCCCCGTCCCGACAAAAAACATATACAAAAACACACACGCGGGGAGCCCTGGGAACCCTGCACTGCCGCCCGTCTTCCAGTCACTGAGATTTTTCACGATGCGGAGATCCTTGGAATTGCCGAGAGCGAAGACCACAAATCAAAACACGCGGGCATCATGCCTGGATCATGGAGGTGTAGGTCTTGGTCCCCTCAAAGCTGACGATGCAATCATCCTGTGCTTGAGTTTGGACGTCTTTACATTTTGCTGCCCTGCACCCAACCCCCGCCTCAAAGCGACCCGCAAACGCTTGTGTGGTATCTCCAAGACACACCTGCTTGAAGCAAGTTTGAGAATGCCTAGCTGAAGGCTGAAGGATGAACCGGCCGAGTCCGTTTGCGGTACAAGTGTCGGGTTTGTCTCACATCAGTCGGTGAACCCTGAGAGAGCCTGCACCCTTCGACCCATCTTACGACGCCCGCTGTCTCCGACCCTCTACTTGAGCCTAAACCTTTGAAGCTTGAAGCCTCTAAAGCAAAGCCCCGAACCGTGAAACATCCAAAAGCACTCGAGATCCAGAGTCCCGGTGTTGATCTTGCAGCTATTGACTATCACCGAGGTCCACGTATCAAGCCCTATAATCTCATAAGGTTCTGAAGCAGCCTTGGATTGGAATGTGTCGAAATACTAAGAAAGCTTTTCCAGAGTATTTCTGAAGCGCTTCGCACAACCGTTTTGGTAGTGTTTTCTTGGGCAGGTGCGTTCTGAAGAAGCGCTTTGTAATTTGCCCTCGGGTTGTCAACGGCGTGAATTGGCTTCAGACGTGTTTCCAGAGACCATGAGTAGCCTTGGAGTCTTTGGAGTAGCAGCAACTGCAACAAGAGTGTTCCAACAGTTGCCGAAACAAGGCGGGCCGCACTCAACCACGAAACGGACTCAGCACAAGGCGAGACTGATTGACATGTTGTGGTCGCTTCCCCAACACGTACCCAACACCCCCAAAACTTCCCTAAAACCTAAACCCCCGTCTTCGGCAGGTTTCCTGTGACGTGCAGTCGGCATGACTCGGCTACGCAGACAGCCACATTTCGAGTATGCACTACTTTGCTACTTTGATCATAAAATTGGCCACCATGCCATTTCGGCATGGTCCCTCCGCCAGATGAACGATTGCATGATCGCCATGATCAATCTCGCCGCCAAGTGTACGTTGTGTTAGTAACCGGTTTCGCCCAGTCTGGCAGGAAACAATGCAGGCAAGCGGGAAAACTGTTGGGGTTTCACAGACTGTAGACTTCTCCAACGTAGCTGAGCAGGCTCCGGCGGCTGGGCGGCCGGCGTGCACTGGCTTCGAGACGGAAGCGAGGCACTTCGTGCCACATCTCCAACCCTGCGATGCCCGTGCGTATATAAAGCTACCGCAAGGGTCCGAAAAGGTGAGTCGACGGAAAGAGCTGGGAGTGGTACCTCCAGTGACGCCTGCGAGCAGTAAGCGGCTCCCGCGAGCTCGGCAAGCCTTCCAGGAAGCGGGCGGAGCTCTCAGGCCCGCCGTCTCGTCTTCTGCTCCGCACCTGACGGCCTGCTCTTGCGAGTAGTTGGTGGGAGTTGTCGGTCGAAGAGCCTGACATCTGCATTTGTTTTTCTCTTGCTTTGCAACTGTGCAGCACGGATCAATCGTAACCGGCCCAGTAGATGGAGAAGGCGGCGCCAACCGTCACCAACAGAAGGATGCATGCGAATGCTGCACCTGACTAGCTTCAGTCCACAACGAGGACCCCTCCCCCCACTGCATCCAACTGCCATAGATGCAGCCACGGCGTCCGCATCTTCGTCCTCTGCAGCCTCCGATGCGCATGAAACCGAGACCCAAAAAAAACGCGGGCGCCAGCGGGCCCCGGCTGAAGAGCCGTCTCCGTTCGGGAGCTGGCCTGCTGGACTCGACAATTCCCAGAAATATCGGGACCAAGGTTGGGGCTGAGCTCTGCCTGCAGAATTTCTCTGTGACGCTTGGCTTTGCATCTTGAAGGTGGTGGCGGGACTACTAGGGCACTAGGGTAAGGAAGATATCAGGAAACAAATTCGAAAACGGATCGGACGATATCGGAAAACACCGGACAAAATCAGAAAACACAATC